TCCTTTTGTGGTGGCTCTGCCTTGGCTCGAGCTGTGCAGCTGAAAGGGAGATGCCACTGAACTGAACACTGTTACCACAGCTCGGTGTCACCACAGAGCCACCAGTGCATTCCAACAACAGGGCTGAGCTTCCCCATCTTTCTGCTGTAATGTCTCATTTCCTAGGATGTGAATTTTGCTATTATTTTTTGACTTATTTTTCTTCCATTCCATTTATTTTTGTAACTAGTTGATTTAATAAAACTGGTTTGTATAATTTGTAAGGCGTGTGTTTTCAGCCACGAGGCTCTGTGAAAGTGTCACAATTACAAGCGTGCGCCTTCGAGGAGGGGATGAGCATTGTCTTGCAGGCTGTGAAGAAAACCCTGCTCCCCGCAGCTGTTCCCGTCCAGGGGCTGCAGAAACCATCACCAAACTCTCCCGTGCTCTGGGGACCTCACCCCTGTGCAGCGGGGAGCTCGCTTTTATCCTCCAGTAAAGGGAGGTTTGGGACCTGCGGCGGAGGCGAACGGGGGCTGCCTGCGGGGAGGTGTCTGGAAAAAGCGGAGGTCGCAGCCCCCCAGGAGAGCCCCGAGCACCTTTGGTGTGACTCCGCTGGGTGCTGCCCGTGCGGAGCTCCGGTGGGGGCGGCTCCGGGCCCGGCCCCGCCGTCACTTCCCGGGCGGTGCCCTGCAGCCATCACTTCCTGCCGGGGGCTCCACGAGCGGGGACTGAGCCTCGTTGGGACCCGGGGCTGAGCATCCGGGACCCGGGGCTGAGCATCCGAGACCCGGGGCTGCTCCTCCGAGACCCGGGACTGAGCATCCAGGACCCGGGACTGAGCATCCGAGACCCAGGACTGCTCCTCCGGGACCCGGGGCTGAGCATCCGAGACCCAGGACTGCTCCTCCGGGACCCGGGGTGGCAATGGCCAGCCTGGCCGACCAAGACTCCTACCTGCAGGGTTTGGCCAGGAGGGCCGGCGTGCAGCACGCCCCGGAGTCGCGGAAGAGGAAATTGGGTACTGGAGCTGTAACGCTTGTGTTCTGTCCTCTCCGGCCCATTTGTGGGAGGCTGGGTGCGACAGCCCCCATGGGGTGCTTGGCTCGGGATTTTGTTTATAACAAAAAAGCAATCTCCTGAAACACGGAGCTCCCGAACACGTTGTACTGGGAGCCGTGGAAATCAATGGTCTCCATTCGCTGTGGAGAGCTAGGGTTTTATGGAAGTTTGCAAGAATGTTTGGTCTATTTAAATAAATTCTAAAATGTGTAATTTTTAAACATTAAGATATGCCATTGCCATGCTGGAACTTTAGTGTTCAGTAATTGAGTGTTATGAGGAGGAATGTAGCATTGTCCTCTTTCATGTAATTTATTTTTGCTTTCTAGTGTCTAAGCCAGGCCAGCCCGATAATGCTGGCAGACAGGTCAAGAAACTGAAGAAAAAGAAGCCCAGGAAGCAAACTGAGAAGAAGAATGCTCCTTCAGCCAAACAGGTGGTTTCTAACACCAGCAAACCCACTCCAGGACAGAAAGCAGCCCCTCAAGCCAGCAAATCATCTGCACAGGGGGGTACACAGAACACAAAGGAGAGTTTGGCTGCAGGTAAGAATTCCAGCTTTGCTGTGGTCTGAGTAAAGTGACCTGGGCTGAACTGGCTGCTTTTCACTTGCTTCACACAAGTCTAGTTTGGAAAGCCTGAATTGAGAAGATCTTTGCTAATTTGCTTATGCCCCAGAAGCTTTTGCCTATGGACAGGGATTTGTGCCATCACCACTGGGTGGCTCTCTGGAAACGCTGTTGAACTGAACTGCAGAGGTTTTGTGCATGTGAGTAACTTCGGGAATTACCTGTGGATGCAATCCCTGTCCTACCAGCTCAGTTTTCCTTTATGACTATGAAAAGTCAGATCTCAGAGAAAAGATGTCCTGAGCCTCTCTGTTTCACAAGCTTGGTACTTGTCTTTGGCTTGCCAGGCAGCCCCAGGGCATGCCAGGCCACTGCTGGCAGTATTGAATGACAAAAGGGAAAATTCTAAAGAAACCAATGAAACAGAAACTCGGGGTTTGTTTGGATTTTCCATTCCATTCACAGCATCTAAAGAGTTCCCAGAGTTTTTCCCATAGCCAGAGAAAGTGCTACTGTTTAGCTGGTGCTGCTTTTTAAGTATTTTTATTTTCTCCCTCTCGTTTTCAGGAAGTAAAAGTGAACTGAGTTCCCCTTCTGTTTCTGCAATCAGTCTGTTGCGTCAGAGACTCCATGAGAAGATTAAAAAAGCTTCTGGACAGGTATGGACACTCTGAATGTGTATCCATATGTGTGTTTATACACTTGAGGTTCTCCCCAGCCTCCCAGGGCATGTGGGGACAGGATCTCACAGGCTCAGGGTTTGAGCTGATTCCATTTCATAAGGAGCTGCCTGTAGGTATTGCCAGGTGACCTGGTATTCTAAAAAACCTGTGAGAAAAGATGGGGTCAGCTTCAAAGAGGCCTTTGGTGATTTTTAGGAAAAAGCAAAATAGTGAGAGCCTGAAAGGGAGCAGCTCCAGGCTGTTGAGGGAATGCAAAGGCTTTGAAATGTTCCTGTGTTTAGTGTCTCTAACAGCTGAGTCACAGCTTCACATCACAGGTGGTGCATCTTAGGAGGAATTTAAAATCAGGAACTTGGGGAGAGCCCACTTCTAATTCTGCTTGAACTCTTAAAGGCTTCTCATTCATGTACATCCTTCTCCTTAGGATAATGCCAAAGAGTTAACCCCTGCAGTCCTGGAGAAGAGGCAGCGAAGGAAGTATGAGAGAGAGAGAAAGAAACGCCGGCGAAAAGAGTTGAAGATGAAGGCAAAAATGGAGAAGAAAGAAACTGAGGAGGTGCCAGCAGAGCCAGAAAAGAAAAAGGAGACCAAAGCTGAGATTGTCTTCAACAGGGTTGAAGTTCATGATGAGAATGAGCTGAACAAGATCCAGAAGAAGAAAGAGAAGAGGAAAGCGGTGAAAGGCAATATCACTCCTATGACAGGCAAGAACTACAAGCAGCTGCTGAGCAGGCTGGAGACCAGGAAGAATAAGCTGGAGGAGCTCAAGGAGAAGGATGAGAAGAAAGCTCAGGAGCTGGAGACCAAGATAAAATGGACAAATGCTCTCTATAAGGCAGAAGGGGTGAAGATCCGTGACGACGAGGAGCGTCTGAAGGAGGCCCTGAAGCGCAAGGAGAAGCGGAAAGCCCAGCGCAAGAGGCAGTGGGAGGAACGGACTGTGAGGGTGGTGGAAAAGATGCAGCAGCGGCAGGATAAACGCCAGAAGAACATCCAGAAGAAGAAGAAGGAGAGGATAGAGAAGAAGAAAGCCAGGGCTCGGAAGAAGGGCAGAGTTCTGCCAGAGGACTTGAAAAAAGCTGGGTTAAATTGAGAGTGAGGCAGATCTCCTGGCACTGGGGTTCCAGGGTGGGGTGTCTGTGTTACTGTTCCAGGCTGTGGGGCAGGCACTGGCACAGCTTCCCAGCCTCATCATACTGAAAAAAAAATAGTTGTATGTTTATTAATAAAGTTTTCTATCCTAAAGACACACCTTCTGGCTGATTTCTAATAGGAATTGTTATTTTTCTAAAGGGGCTATGTCACTTGCTGTCACCTCCTCTGATGGGCAGCACAGTGTCTTCTTTGCCTCCCCTGGGAATGGGGAAGAGGAAAAAAAAGGCAAAAAGACCAAACATGGGATTCATCTCAACACAAAGATACTGCAGGTATTGTAAAACCTTTGTTTAATACAAACTTGGATGATACCCTTGGAAAGGTGAGTGCATCCTGGATACATTTATCCTCCCCACTACAAGAAAACTGGAAATAATTTTCAATTTTAGGCAGTGCTGTTCATTTATCTTGTAAGTTAGGTTTTATCAGCATTAGGTCAATATAGACATAAACACAAACATGTACATGTGCATGGATTTAGTGTGGAGCTAACTGATCTTTGTGGATCATCCATAGGACACACTGACTGATCTTGACGGTAGAAGGATTGGCTCCAAGTCTATCTTTGGCAATAAAAAAATAGGCAAAAATAAATAATTCTGGCAACCACAGGTGCCTGCAAGGGTTTCTTCTTTGTACAGTTCATCAGTGCAAAATTTGATTTGGTCATTACCAATTTTGTCCTTTATTGTTGTTTATACAGAAGTACAAATGTAAACTTGAGCAGCTGTTTGTCCAGCTCAGGAGGGAAAGTACAGCTTGGCTGCTGGGGAAGATCAGTGGGAACAATCTATCCAGAAAATAAAGCAGCTCTGCCCCTGAGATCAGTCAAACCTTGCAGATGCCCTCCTGATCGTGGTTGGTGTGGACTGATAATTTCTACTGAGCTCAAAGATGTTATAAACTGAGTCCAGTTGAATCCTCAATTCTCTCAATCTGGTGCTTTGGAAGAAACTTTTTTGCCTTCTCATTGAAGCTGGTGAATGTGCTGTGAGGGAGATGCAGGTTGTGTTGTGCAGGTTGTGCTGTGCAGGCTGTGCTGTGCAGGTTGTGCTGTGCAGGCTGTGCTGTGCAGGTTGTGCTGTGAGGGTTGTGCTGTGCAGGTTGTGCTGTGAGGGTTGTGCTGTGCAGTGCTGTGCTGTGCAGGCTGTGCTGTGCAGGCTGTGCTGTGCAGGCTGTGCTGTGAGGGTTGTGCTGTGCAGGCTGTGCTGTGCTGTGCAGGCTGTGCTGTGCAGGTTCTGCTGTGCAGGTTCTGCTGTGCAGGTTGTGCTGTGAGGATTGTGCTGTGCAGGCTGTGCTGTGAGGGTTGTGCTGTGAGGGTTGTGCTGTGAGGATTGTGCTGTGCAGGCTGTGCTGTGCAGGTTGTGCTGTGCAGGTTGTGCTGTGAGGGAGATGCAGGTTGTGCTGTGCAGGCTGTGCTGTGCAGGCTGTGCTGTGAGGGCTGTGCTGTGAGGGCTGTGCTGTGCAGGCTGTGCTGTGCAGGCTGTGCTGTGAGGATTGTGCTGTGAGGATTGTGCTGTGAGGATTGTGCTGTGAGGATTGTGCTGTGCAGGTTCTGCTGTGCAGGTTGTGCAGGCAGTACCTCCCAGCTGGATCCCTGCCACAGCCCAGGTAACTCCGTGGTGCAGCAATAATCTGAGCCAGCAGCCCGAGCAGTGGATTTGTGCTAAGTTCAAGCCTCAGGTGTGACTGAGCACATTTGTGTCACGGGAGCCAAAGGCAGCCTGTTCCACACTGGAGTCCAGCAAGGAAACTTCCCAGGCACAGATGGAGCTCTTCTTCTCCTCTTTCTTCATGTTCTGAATGACCTCGCACTCACAGCTCGCCACTTCAGTTGTAGAAATGTGAAATACACGTTTGGAAATCTGAAATAGTTGCTCTGCAAAGAATATTTTCCATGGAATGGTCTACAAGTGAGGTATTTATCAGCTGTCCAGAATGCTTTCCAAGCAGGGCTTGAAGATAAAGTAGTGCTTTGTTCTGGGAGGTCAAGCAAGTTCATTTGGGAGTAACAGCTATTTTCAGCCATATCCTTTCTAAAAAACTCTCTGAACAAATTCAAGGAACCTGAGTAATTATTAAAAATGCTTTAGCTGTGATTTCTATTTGGTTGGAGAGTCATCAGCTGCAACCACGTACATTTAATTTTTGTTTGTATTCATAGTAACTGTAAGTTAGTTGAGGTAAATCTCAGATGGTTTTAGATGCAAAAGATGTTTCAATCTCAATGGGCTCCAGAGTTCCAGCAGGTTTGTACCATAGAAAATAAGGGTGAATGCAATAGCTGTGCTCCTAATGATGTGATATTTCAAAAAATGTGTATTTGTTTTCCTGAGGGATTAGCTGTTTACTCTGTAAAAGACACATGGAAGTACTCTATGCCCATTACAACAGCTGAAACTGCACTAAAATACCAAACACCCACAACTTTTATTTTTTTTTTATTATTATTCTGTGTTAATTTTACTGTCCAAATTGAGGCTAATTATTAGTCCCCTTTCTTCTCTCTGTTCTGGATCCTCTATCCTTCCCCATCACCCAAATTCTATCTCTGTATGCTATGAAGATAAGAGCGTGTGTCAGGTGCAGAAAATGGGAATCCCCAGGAGGGTCTGCAAAGTGGGACTGTTTGTGTGTTCCTTTATGCTTTGGCTGGAAATGTTGAGAGGATATTTATGCAACTGGAAAGTGGCATCCAGCTGGGAGAGGCTGCAAGCCCCAGGGAAAACAGGGTTCAGTCAGGGCTTGATGTTTTAGAAAAACAAATAGCCTGAAAATTGTTTTCATGAAGCGAAGTACAAGGTTTTATACGCCTCAGACCTGGCTGGGAGTGCTTCCATAGAAAACACGTGGATTGCATTTGGTCACAGGCTGAATGTCATCCCAGTGCTGTGTCCTTGCAAAGCAGGCAAATGTCCTGTGGGAATGCATGAACTGTGACAGCTTTTCAGTTTTGGGGGTAAATCCAGCTTTGCTTCATTCTTCTGAGGGCTCAGCAGGAGAACTTGGGTTGCTTTGACACCAGTTTCATGAGAATGGGCTGATTAGACAGAGTCCAGTCAGAGCTGACAGAAACAATCCCAGATCTTAAAGTTAGAAAATTACAAGGAAAGATTGAAGGACGTCACAGAAGAGAAGAGGGAAGGAAACATTGGAGCCTTCAGGTATGGAAAGGGAGACTGCCCAGATCTGAACTACAGCAAGTGAGATCCTGGTTGGAAATTTGGAAGCCTGCTGATGAGAAGGGCTTTCCTACTGCAGCCATCTCTCACAGAATGGCTGAAAAACAACTGTTTGAACCCTCCTCTGCTCATTTGTCTGCTTTGCATGTGCTGGAAGCATCAAGCACAAGGTAAGAAACGTGGCACTGACAAATCCTGGCGTCAGCATAGCAGCTCTCATGACACAACTAGCACAGGAATGAGATAAAACTGGTCAAAACACAGAATAGCTGCTAGAGGGGGAAGGCTGTTTGTACATCTTTCTGTGTTTGTGGATCTGCAGCATTTTTAGGCAAGAATCCAGAGCTGCTCAGCATGAATCCATGAAAGCTTTAAATAGTGGAAGGCCTTAAGGCACATATATTTATATAGATGCACACACAGAAATACATATATATGTGTATATATGTAATTAGTCATTATTTTAAGTAGTATTTTGTGATGCATCCTGGTGAAAGCTAATTAGATTGTCTCAAAGGAAAGTGAGGGAGAAGCACCAGAGAGGATTTCTATGTGACACAGTAAAGCAAATTAAGGAACTTTTTGCCACTTGTCTTTTTCCAGTCAAAGAAATTAAAGCAGGAAAATCACTCCTGTCTGTCCAGATCAGGAGGGTTGGGTCCTGAGATAGCAGCAGTGAAATAAAAACACGTGAGCCTGACCCACAGCTCCCTGCTTCTGTCCTCACTGAAGGAAATAACGAAAGAAATAACAATTAATGTGCTTGTAATACCTTTGCAGGCCCCATGCAAATGCATTTTGTGTTCGTCACAGGGACCAAAGGTCACACTGTGGGCACTTTTGCTTCCCTGTGAGCACCTGTCCTGATTTAGGGCAGGTTCCCTGTGAACAGAAGAAGGGATTGATCTGAGCATTCAAGGTAAGACTGCTGGGCTCAGGAAAGTTGATTTTTCATGGCTGTTGTAGAGGAAATAATTTCTTTGGCTTAATCTTTACCCAACATGCATTAGGATTGTGAAACGTGTCTTTGCTGGTCTCGCACCTCAGTTTACCTTTCCCACATGCACCTTTGCAGGGAGTGTCTCTGGTGGTTACAGGACTGTGAAAGGTGGAGTTTATCAGCCCAGGTGATAACTGTGTTAGCTCTCTGATAGGACTGGGCTGGGTGATTTCATTAAATTGCAAAGGGTGTGTGCTTGAGATGAAAAAATGGAATCTACAGAAAGTGGAATCAAATCAGAACGGCTACACATGCACTAGAGCCAGGTTAAAGCCCCCTGAAATGGAGACCTTGCTCAGACATTTTACATCAGTGCCCTGGCTCTTACAGTCTGGCACCTTCTGTGTTCATCACTTCAGAAAAAGTGGAAGAGAAACTACCCATGAACTTCTTCCTCCTCTGAGGAAATGATCTGTTTCTCTCACAGTGAGGTACTTACAGCCCTCTCTCTGTATTTCTTCTCTGCAGAGTGAAACTGCTGGAATTCAGAAGAAGTCACCCTTCCTTCTCCTCTAGAAATGATTTCCAGGAAAGTGCTGGTGGGATCTCTTGTCTGCCTGGGTGCTGTTGCTGCAGTTATCTGGTAAGAATTTGCTGGCCAGCTTGGTCATACCTAAAACATCCTGTGTAGATCCTGTGGCAAAACTCACAGAACTAAAAAACAAAGGCTGTGCATTTTGTGGGAAGCCCCTGTTTGAGCTGGAAGAAAGAACAGCAATATGTGTAATAGATAATGGTAGAGGGAGAAAGCCCTAGGGGAAAGAGGAAAAAAGAGCAACTGAGTCCAAATCAAGCTGCTGACACCATAGTGACCCTCAAACAAGTATAGAATATTCCAGTTACATTTTAGCTCATTTAACAGAGGTGATTATCTGTGTCTTCAAACAGTCCAAACTCACTCCAGTGTCACCAGGGACAGCTCTGTAGCTGTCAGATATCTTTGAACCACTGTGGATTTTGTAACTGAATATTCTGACCGCTGAGTATGGCTTAGAGATTCTCTGGAGCAAACTCAAACATCGAAACATCATTGGAAGGGAATCTGAGGGAAGGCATTTCTATTAAGTATTAACGTATTAATTATTAAATTATTATGAATTATCTCATATTTATTATATTGAAACTTACTGTACTTTCACCTTGTGGGTAGCTGCATTTTGCCTCAGCAGCAGGACATTGTGTTAAAATGTGAACATAGCATTAATTAACACTAATTAATAAAGTAGACATGGAGTTAACCAGAATTACCTCTCAAAATCTTTGCCAGGTCCTTAGGTGATCTTGGAAAATCCTAGGAATGTTTCCTTCAACATTTCCTATCTTAAAATATTTCTTTGCTCTCACAGGGCTCTAGCTGGGACTAGAAAAGTGCACTACCTGCCCTACTACCTTCCTTGCCCTGAAATCTTGTAAGTATTTTGTTTTGTGCCTAATGAGTAACACAGATCACTGTTTCAGTCCTGCTCTTCACTGACAACAGAAACAGTGATTAACAAGTCACTTGTTCTTTATTTATGAAGCTGTAATTAGTCACTCTCTTCAAACAAAAAGCTAAAAATGCAGTTTGGGCCTGCCTGCCCTGTGTGACAGCTCTGGGTCTGCATGGGTGAGGGAGGCTTTGTTTGTTGTGGGTCAGAGCCCAGGCCTAAAAGGTTCACACAGCTTCCTTATCAGGGTGAAATCACACACCTGCACGTGCACAGCCATGCTTTAGGGATCCACTCAGCAGACAGAGACACCTAAACCAGAGAGGTGATGTGAACAGGCACATGAGGAGCTCTGGCATAGGCAGGAATAACCCCCAGTTCTCATCATGCTCCTGTTCTTCCCTCTGGGATCTGGGATCATGAATGTTCTGTGCCATGGCAGCGCTTGAGCTCTGGACCTGAGAAAATGAGCTTCCTTGCCTGCTGCAAGCTGATGTACCTGAGCTAGCCTGGCTGCCAAGAGCTCCCCCAGAGCTGCACAGAGGAGAATTTACACTGTGCAGGGGCCAGGGACGTGGCCCCAGTGACCTCCTCACTGCCACACTGCACCACAGCTAGGACATGACAATGGCTTTCCCCATGACCAAATAGGTATTTCTATACAAATAGAAAAAAATGATGTTTCATGGAGGTATTTCTGATTGCTCCAGCCCATTCCAAACCATTGTGTCTTGTGAGGTGCTTATTTCTCTGAATGCTGTTGGAAATGTGATTATTTCAGGCAGTTCAGCCCTCCAGGTGACCAGGAGCAGCTTTGAAGGGCATGGAGCACATACGTGACCATGTTTGTATGGGACCTGACAGTCCCACCTGGATTTTGGCCCCTGCACACTGATATCCCCACAGACTGGGATTGCTGAGAGAGAGAGATTGAGAGATACAGAATCTCTCTGTCCCTGTTATGTGGTGTCCCAAAGCTGTCCCTTGCCAGGGAGCCCTGGAGGTGTGTGCAGGTGATGCCTAACCCTGGGCCGAGCAGGGCAGTGTCCACAGCAGCTGGAGCTGGGTTTGGACAGCTCTCAGGACAGCAGCAGGTCCTACAGCCAAACTTGTTGATATTTTAAGAAAAGCCTAACAATCCATTTCTTTCCCCACCCCATCATGCAGCTCCATGAAACTCCAGTATACAGAAGAGAAGCTAATCCAGCTTTTCCCCCAGTAAGTACTGGCTTTTTATCTCCTGACCTTTAAACTTCTGCTCCTCTCTTCCAGGCATATTCATGTATTATTCAATGGATATTTCTTCCCTTTTACAGATTATTTTATCAGCAGCCAAGAGTGCTGGCGCCAAAGTAAGTTTCTTTGAACTTTGTTTGCTGAGTTTGGTTTGGGCACTTTGCAGCACTCACAGTTCCAGAGTCCTGGGGCACATTGAGCAGGATGTTGTTCCCTGAGAATCCAAGCACAGGGGTGTGTCAGCTGCTGCCTGTGCTGCTCTGAGGTTGGGTATGGTTACTGTACACTTATTAACACACTTACTGTTAATTCCCAATTATTACATTAGTGCACACACACTCTTGTGGCCAGGGGCTCTTTTTGAGATGGGAGATGTGTGATATCTCTAAGTGGGAAATACCTTCTGGAGCTGTGCTCTGGAACCAGCTGTGGGAGCTTTGAACCCATTTCAGGGCAACATAAAGCAGGTGTGACCTTCAGCAGTGGTTTCACCAAACACAGACAAACCTCAAACACAGCCAGAGCAGGGGCTTTAAGGGAAGATTTGGGACAGCAGCAGAAAGAAGTGGCTTGGACAAACTCTCTGTGCAGCCCAGGTTGTTACAGCCTCCTTTGGCCCTGCTCCTGTGACTTTATCTGGAGCAGTTCACCTTCCACAACCACGTTCTTTTGCATGTTAACAACACACCCTGTTGGAACACACACACATATATATTTAAATATTATTTCCCTCACATATTCAGGATGTGCTCAGCCTGAATATTTCTTCCATACTGGAATAAATTTCTGTGCTAAATCAGCTGGTGCACACTGGGCTAAACAAGGGGAGAATCTTGAAGCTCTTCCTCCTCTGTGTCTTCTGGTGGGAGTTCACTGGCGTGCAGAGGATGACCATGACTGTGACTCATTGGGAAACCCAGGGAAGCCCTTTAAGATGAAATTTAAAAAGCTTAGAAAAGTGAACATGCATGTTTCCTTCCCTTTTCAAAAAAAAAAAAAAAAAGTCTAATCAACCCAGAAACAGAACAGATCCGTTAGTACATTTTTCCCAACACAAATTCTTCTTCCTGTATAATCTTTCAATCACATGCATTGCTGTAGGAAGGAGTCAAACTGCTATTCTTGTATCCTCTCAGACTGAAAATATTAGATCTGGGCTAGAGAATCTGATTGGATCTGCTGCCTGAAGCACCAGGCTGCTCCCCACAGCTCCCCCAGTTTGATTCTGGAGCTGTTTTGCCTTGGAACTGTGTCAGGTGGGAGCCTGGCAGCCCCCAGGTGTGGCCACGTGCTGTGTGTGACAAATTTCATTAGCAGAGGGCTCCAGCTCCTGGTCTGGAGCGAATGGGAGCAGGCAGGGGTGAATTCCACCATAAATGACATCTCCTTTTAAAATCAAAAAGGTAAGAATGAAACAGTGAAAACAAAGCAAGCAAATTGAAACAGCACTGCAGAGCTGTAACAGGGCAGAATCAGATTCTACTGCATTTATATTCAGTATTTCCACTTCTCTCACAAGAGATTAAGGATTTTTTCTAACTTTGTTAGATATTTTAATGCTGGCTCTCACACAGCATTTTGAATTGTAACTGATTGTGTTGGAACTATATATAAATACTGGAAAAGTAAGCTGTCATGCTGCAAGCTGTGTTTTAATAACACAGCAATGGGGTATATTTTTATAGTAATTTTCATATTATTATTACTTGTGTTTTAATCTGCATGTAGCAATCTGCATCAGGCTGATAGCAAATAGGCACAGCTTCCCATTCTGAGAGTTCAGTGGTCATTAAACTCTCCTCAGCAGAAAGGTCCTTAAATGAGATTTCAGCAGATCCTCAGGTTTTTACTGATGTATTAAAGTGCTTAATTTCAGCCCAGGAATTGAAATGTCCATGCTCTGTAACCTTAAATAAGAGTGCAGGGAGAAAATATCTGAGCTAATACCCTCCATGGCGAATTAATGCTGATTCACACACTCTTTTAGCTGCCTTTTTTCATGCTTCTTTTCCATTTACTAGCCTCAAAACCAACAGGAACAGTTACATTTAATTAACATTTCTGGGTTTTTCCCCCTTCAGGCGCCAGGATGTGCTGACAGTCACACCATGGCTGGCCCCCATCGTCTGGGAAGGGACCTTCAATCCTGAGATCCTGGACAGTGCCTATAGACCCCTGAACCTCACCATAGGGGTGACAGCCTTTGCTGTTGGAAAGTAAGGGAAGCACTCAGTGGGCACAGTTCTTGGGGTGATGCTCCTCCTCTGTGGAAAGACGGCTTTGGCTTTCCTTTTCCTGAAATTTGTCCCGGTTTATAGCGGGGTTTGTGTCCCTCCAGTGTGTCTGTAATCACACAAGTGCATGGGATAACAACACTGGAGGTACCTGAGGTGTGGGCAGTATTTTTTAAGAATAAGGCATCTTGGGAATTAGAGCTGGTCAAAATGGGGATAATCCACTTATTCCTCATCCTCCACTAGACGTGTTACATGTGTAGTGTGTGGATTCCTGCAGTCATAATCACTGAACTCTCCTCACTCCTTGTCTTGCATTCACTAATGAGCCCTTCATAATCCCCTTGGAATCCCAGATGGTTTGGGTTGGAAAGGACCTTAAAATTTATCTTCTTCCACACCATGGGCAGTTCCCAGGGCACTTCCACTACACCAGGTTGCATCAACCTGTACTTGGACACTTCCACAGCTCCTCTGGGTAACCTGTGCCCCATCCTCATAGGGAAGAATTCCTTCTCCCGATCTAACCCTGCCCTCCCTCAGCTGAAGGCCATTCCCCTTTGCTCTATCACTCCACACCCTTGCAGAAAGTCCCTCTGCTCAGAAAGGCCGTCCTTGTCCCTGCTGGGCTCTCCACGGGCTGTGTCTGTGCAGGTACACGAGGTTCGTGCGGCGCTTCCTGGAGTCGGCAGAGCGGCACTTCATGCGTGGCTACCGGGTCAATTATTACATCTTCACAGACAGCCCCGAGAGCATCCCCCGGGCGCAGCTGCGGCCAGGGCGCAGGCTGCTCACCGTCCCTGTCCAGAGACACTCCAGCTGGCAGGAGATCTCCATGCGCAGGATGGAGACCATCAACCGGCACGTGGCCGAGGTGAGCCATCGCGAGGTGCAGTACCTCTTCTGCCTGGACGTGGACATGGTGTTCCACAACCCCTGGGGCCCTGAGACCCTGGGGGACACGGTGGCCGCCATCCACCCTGGCTACTTCCAAGTGCCACGAGAGCAGTTCCCTTATGAGAGGAGGAGCTCCTCAGCAGCCTTCATCCCCAAGGGAGAAGGGGATTTCTACTACGGAGGAGCCGTGTTTGGAGGCTTGGTTAAGAACATCTACGAGTTCACCAAGAGCTGCCACATGACCATCCTGGCAGACAAAGCCAACGGGGTCATGGCAGCCTGGCAGGAGGAGAGTCACCTCAACAGGCACTTCCTGACCCACAAACCCTCCAAGCTGCTTTCTCCAGAGTATATATGGGATGACAGGAAGCCAAAGCCCCCCGAAATCCGCCTCATACGTTTTTCCACAGTGGATAAAAACTACAAAGAGGTCCGAAATTGACCACCTGATCCCTGCAACAAACCAAAACACATCAAAATCAGTTCCTGCAGAACTATGAATTTTTGTTCCTGGTAGGAAGGGAAGGTATGGATAGTTCCTCTGGAGACCAGAGTCTCAAAGCATTTCAGAAGCAGCAATCAAAATGCAGGTGAGACTGAAAAGGTTTCTGGTCTCCCACTCTTTGTAAATACATCCTGCCTGAGGCTGTGGCACACAGAAAAACATCCAAAAGGCCAGTGATCCAATGCATGGATGTAGTTGCCTTCCCATGACTGTTTTCCAGAGGCCTGGCAGAAACTTAACAAGATCAAAATGGCATTTGACGTTCTTGTGGAGAAGACCTTGAGTTTTGGTAAATACCTTTTCACTTAAAAAAAAAGAAAAAAAAAAAAGAACATTTCAGGGTGATAATTTTTCCTGCATTATGATTTAAACTAACACCTTTTGTCAGAATCAGGAAGAAACTTGCACTCAGAGCACGTTTTCCCTGAGTGGTGTGCAGCAGGATTTCTTGGACCTTCTCAGCAGAGGGCTGGTGCCAGGCATTGCCAGTAAGAGCCCTGGTCTGACAGGACAAACATTGTGAACTCATCTAGCAGTTATCTCCCAAATTCCAGTCTGTGCTTTGGAGACCCAAGTTGAGACAGAACTGGCACAGCTCAAAGCAGACTGAACTTCTTTGGGTTTATTTCAATCACAGATGTGCTCTGAACCTTTTCCCTGGGTCACATGTCTCTGTGGATCTTGTAATCTTTTCCAATACAGAAAACTTGTTTTTGAGATGTTCATGTTCCTCTCCACTGCTTCAGCCCTTTCCAATTTTTCTAAGCTCTGTGAAATAAATTGGCGAGAAGCTGCTGGAGCTGACAGCATGATCCTTTCCAGCAAACAGGATGATTTCATTCCATAATGAAATGCTCTGCTGAAGCTGGGAGTTCGGCGTGGAGTTGGAAGTAGGCTGGGGTTAACATTTTCTCTCCTTGGATGTGCTGAGGAGCTGAAGCAGGCATTTAGAGGCTGACAGCTCCCTGGGGTGAGCACAAGGGAGCAGCCAAGGCTGGCAGCTGAGGTTCCAGCACAGCCACCTCCCTTGTCACAGGGGAGCTGCCATCAGCATCAGCTCCCTCTGATACCAAAGGGCTGAACATGAAAATTCCTGTTCACTCGGAGCAGGAGAGAGGCCACGGGAGATGCTGGGAACGGCAGCGTCCAGCGGGGAGAGAAGGAGCAGGGTGAAAGGGTGAACAGGCTGTTTCTAAGGGAACAGCTTAGGGGGAAAAAAGAAAAAAAAAGAAGGAAAAAAAAGCTTATTTGGCAGAGAGAGGGAAAATAGGGAAGAGGTGCCTGACTGTTCCTGCTTCTCCTCACATGTGAAAATTGCTGTATGGCAGGGAATCAAGTATTCAAAGCTTTAGGGCCCCACAACTGATTGCTGCTGACTTAACGAGCCATTTCAGTCCTGTGAGCAGGCTGGAAATGGCACTTGCCACTGTCATTGTAGGCATTTCATCTTCCAGAAGACTAATTAGAAAAGCTTTTACAGACTCATAATATAGATAAGGTACCTGAAATACCTCCAGCTCCAAAGCCCCAGTGGCAGCTGGTTTGGCTGATTTGTGCTTAATCCAGCAAAGGGGCTTTATTACATTTTCTCCAGATTGTTCTTAGTGATGTGCAGGAGGAAGATGTCCCTTTACCTAACTAAACCACAACTGAAACCCCTGCCATGCATGTTGGGTAACCAGGCACCTCATCTGAGCCAAAATGGTGAGGAAAAATACTTATCCAAATATTTCCAGAAAGATACATTTCCAACCAGTCCAGGATTAATACTGTATGTTTCTTATTTGTTAAAGAGTTAGTGCCTCAAGGCCATGCTGAAACTGGGTTATTATGCTAATTATATATCTATGTGTAAGGATTCTTTACCAGCCAAAAGGAACTGTCCAGTCTGCCCTGCACAGGACAAGCCAGATAATTTTATCTCATGGTGTCAGTATGTGGCTGAGCTGGGCTAGACCTCGTAGAAAAGTATTCAGATTCCAAGAAAAACATTAAGTTCTGTAGCAGCCACAAATCCATAGATCAGCTGTGCCAATGGCCAATTCTCCTTATGCCTTAATTCTGTTGGAAATTGCTCTGGGTTTGCAGCCACAGGGCTTCATTCTGCCACATTAATTATTGAATTCCTGTGCAGATACTCATAAATCCTTTGTGAGAGGAAGTTCTGCAGCACAGATGATGGGTGATGGAGGGTGGTCTGGGTTTCTGGGGTGCCTGTTTTGAAAAAATTGTGAAGGGCTTGGTCTGAGCTCTGCATCCAAGCTGCCTTTTGGCTGAATCCTTAGCCCTCTGATTGACACCATAATGGCCTGATTTGTGCTGTGCCAAACATGTTTATTTTCCTGGCAGTCCCAGAGCTTCTCCCCGGGGGAATGACTTCTTGTGTGACACAGTTCTACTCCACAGGGTTGCAGTTTGAAGCAGTACCTACAAACTCCCAGTGCCTCCAGGGAGCAGGAGAATGTCTGCAGAAAAAAACCCCACAGTGCTGTGTGGGAGATGCTCCCTGAATCATCTCGGTGCCCTCTTCTAATTAATGAAGTGGGGAAACTGAGGCACGCTGTAGGAAGGCAGCACAGTGTCTCTTGCCTTCCTCCACTGGCTACAGGGGACAGTATTGTCTTAGATGTTCTTGTGCCGAAGGAATTTGGACTTAGAAATGCAGGGAACTGCACAAAAACTGAATCACCACATGTAAATAAATAAACCCCACTGCCTGGTGATGTGATTGTGCTCTCAAGGTATTTCCCACTCAAGCCCTTAACCCACCCCCAAATCAGCAGCTTCTTGCCTTCCCAAGGGCCCCTTTTTCCTTCCATCCCTTTCTGCTTGGCTGGAACAGACTCATCATTCACTGTCTCTAATTTAAGCACCCATCTGACAGAGGCTGTTTCTTTCCTTCTCCCTGCTGCTGTTTTGCCCACCGCATCCACCCCCAAAGGGCAAATTTCTGTGTGGTGTAGAACAGAAACTTCCAGTACTGAACATGATTTGAGGTGGAGCCAGACTTCGATCATTTCATTCTCCCCACTGATAGGACAAGGATCATTTCCACTTAGCCAGATTAGGATTCTTTTCCACCCCTCTCTGGATTTCCCATAACTCTCCCTTAGGTGATGTTCCCTGACAGTTTTGACCAGAAATCTCATTTTTTACCACACAGCACCAATTTCAACAGGATTTGTAATTTGTGTAACAACACAAATTTTCTGTGGGTGAGATCTCTGGCTGTGGGGCACAAATAACGTCACATTTGAGCAGAGGGGGGATGAGGAGGGGTAAGAACACCAGTTACACATCCCCTGCATAAAACCAGTTTGTGGAAAAGCCACGTGCCTCTGGCTGGCTTCATGCAGCTGAAGCAGCATGGTGGTGGAAAGGAGCTGGAAGGCTGGGAGCTCCCTGCCAGAGCTGCTGGGCTCACTCCCCTGCCCTTTGTCCCACCTGGGTGGCTTTTGGAGGGACAGACTGCCTCTGTCTCTTGTTCTGTGTTTGCACAGGGCCCAGTCTGGGCCACTCAGTGGGAATTTGCTCTGATCTCAAAGGAAAGCTCCTAGCAGTAAGTTTATTATTTTCTCACTTGAATCCCACCTCCTGCCCCAGCAAGTCCCCAGGGGTGACACACGCAGAGCAACAGCTGCTCTCCAGGTGGAGTGACAGTGGAGTGACAGTGACAACAGGTCTGGGGACAGCAGGAACTGGAGAAGGAGTTACAGGAGTGGATTGGGTTGTACTTTACTCATGGTAAATCCCCAACCCTGGAGCTCTGCTCCACACAATCAAATGGTTTAAGGAAGCATCGCTAGAAAAACACATCTGAAGGGTGACATTTGAATGTCTGCCTGCCCACCAGACTCTCTCCTTTCTCCACAAGTGTTGCTGTATTGATGTGACTTTCCCCATGCTATATTTAGGTTAAACATAGATCCACCAAATGTCGCCGTTTCATGTGAAACCAATGTAAAGCCTTAGGAGTAGAAAAGCAGTTTTAACCACAAATCTCTGCTGCTTGTATGCCCACGTCATCACTCCCCTGATGAACCTTCAGCCAATTTAAACCAAGCCAGATGAGTACAAATCACATTTTAAAAGCACTTCATTCTGGTGTGGTTTTTAGTGAGTTTTGCCAGCAGCAAATTACATAGTTCTAGACCTTTTGCAGTACGTGTTTTTCTCACTGTTGAGCACTGACACTGTTACTATAATTAGAATTATGTTGCTCTGTAGCAGCATCTAGTGCCAGAGCCAGAGCCCGGGCAGCACCTTTTCCTTTCCTGGCTGCGCTCGGCAGCCAGAGCTGCTGGTTCAGCTGAGCCGGAGCCACGGAGGAGCGGGACACGGGCAGGTGCCACGGGCTGTGCCTTGTCGCTCATTCCCGCTGTGACCCCGGAGAAAAGGGGGGTGTCGGTGCCCAGGAGCGGCACTGCGGCGGCTGGGAGCACTCGGCCGTGGACTGACGCAGCCTTCAGCCGGCTCCTTCCTCTCCTGCCACGGCTGTAATGGCTCATGTCATCGGCCTCATGATTACAAATGCCGGGGAGCGGAGCCGCTCTGTTTCCAGGGCAACCCCTCTGGTTCCCCGGCTCCCGCTGCAGCTCAGCCCGTGCGGCCGGAGCGCTGCCCGGGGGACGCGCTCAGCCCCGTGCGGTCCGGGATGAGCGGGGATCGGTGCCCGGGGCTCCGTGTCGTGCCCCGGCTCCCTATCCCGGCCTCTCCTCATGGAGCGGGGACAGCCCGGGATGTTCTCTCTCAGCCACGGCCCCAAGCTTTCCCCCTGTT